ATCCCCAGATGTTCATACAAAGCATAAAATAATCTAAGTGTGTCAGCATATTTAAAGAAATATATTCTAAAAATATTTCTAAGTTTTAAAAGTCATCAAAGCCTACCTACATTAGTAAACAGGGCTGGTTTACAGTTGATTGTGCTATTTGCAGAGTTGGGGAAGAATAGACCAGTTCACTTGTTAATCTCTTTCTTATCAGCATAAGGGACAAATGGTCCATTTCAAAACCTACTTACATACTAGTGTTCCCTTGCTATCCCGTCTTCTCTCCATTTGTTGTGTTCTGTTTATAAATTTCTAAGGTTTCTGAGGTACAGCCTCTCATTCTACAAAGCTTGGCAAAATGGGTCCCACCCAACATGTTTGAAAACTTCAGTAGGTGCTATTAGAATGTTACATTAAATAATAATAATCACCCGCACTGAAACTGCACTATTCAGCTTTGCAGCCACATTGGCAGATCTATAAGAGAAATAAAAAATGCTAATCGGGGAAAGGTGCCCTTTTTAATCAACTTTCCCCAAATATTAATATGACCCTCACTCTCACAGTGTGGGTCTTTATGCCTCTCTAGTGGCCAGACAATTAATAGATTTTAAGGCTGAAAGAGCATTAGTTCATTTAGTCTGACCTCCTGTAAATCACAGACCATGAAATTTCACCCTATTACTTCTTAGTTAAGCCTCATAACTTGTCTTTGGCTGAAGTACAACTTATCTATGATTAAAGCATATACACACCAGACACACACACACACACACACACACACACACACACACACACACACACACACACACACACACACACACACACACACACACACACACACACACACACACATATATATCAGAACTAAGGTTTCTGAGTCTGCTTTTGCTACGTGCTTTGCACTTAGATCTGAACTTTTAGCTTAAATGGTAGCCACTCATGCTTTTACATCCACAGGGCCCAAGTTATGTTCCCACAGTAGGGATATTGTTATATTAAGCTTGTTATTTAATGACTCGAGTCTAGATCATGGTGCTACCAAAAACTAAACTAACTGGCAGTGTGTAGTTTTCCATCCCCAAGAGTAGGCTGAATTGTCATTCAGAGTCCCATTTTCCTCTCTGCTTCCTCCTTGTTCCATTGCTAAACTGATCTGTGCTTGGAGTATATATAGGGCAGATTTCTCCCTCTTTACTGGCTCATTTGTGCTGTTGGTTTTGGGGGACAGAGGTACAACTCTGTCTACTTCCTGTAGTCCAGCCCAGGTAAGCTTGTACAGTACATCCTTGTTATTAATAATTAAGAAGGCCAACATCCTTATTATTTTAATTCAATGTTGATGTCACTTTGGAAACTTATAAGGTTCTAGACTGTTAGCCTGTGTGTTCCCCTTCATGGCTGAAAAGATAATTCAGCTTCCAAGCCAGCTGGTCAAATTTGCTGGTTAAGTATGAGTAAGGATGACTTCTGAGCAGTGGATACTGAGAACCAGATTTTAGATCAGTCATTAAAATATATCAATTTATTCTCAAAAAACAAACAAAAGAGAAAACCCTCCCCTACCTCTGGCCCCAACAAACAAGAGTAGGGGATAAGACGAGACCATTTTGCTTCACTGGGGCACATATACACATAGTGTTACTTCACTGCAATGAAGGAAGGAGATTTTGGGCTGCACAGAAGAAACTGAGCTCATTAGAACCATGATACAGAATCCAAAACTCATTATCCTGAAATTTCAATGTTATCTTTTAGGATCTAAATAATAGTATTTCCAGTAAGATGCTTGTTTTTTTTTTCATTCTGTATCGCTGCTGCCGTCGATCCCAGGTGGCACCACCCAGCTCCTCTCATCCAGTGGGCAGATTAGGGGCTTGGCTGCACCCACAGGAGGGCTGCGGGGGCTGTGTCAGAGTCCTCCTTGGCATGCAGGCCCCTGATCTGCCTGCCAGATGACAGACGGCAGCACCGATCTTCTTGGTGCTGTGTGCAGACTGTGCCCAGCTCTGGTCTGTCATCTGGCAGGCAGGTCAGGGGCCTGCACCTCTGGGAGGACTCTGCAACAGCCCCTGAAGCCCTCCCGGGGGTGCAGCTGAGCCCCCAGTCTGCCTGCCCGATGAGAGGAGCCAGGTGCTGCCGCCTGGGACCAGTGGCAGCAGCGATCTTCTTGGTGCTGGTCCCAGGCGGCAGCACCTGGATTCTCTCATCTGGTAGGCAGATCGGGGGCTCGCACTCCTGGGAGGACTTCAGCACAGCCCCCACAGCCCTCTCGGGGGTGTGGGTCAGCCCCTGATCTGCCTGCCTGCTGCATTTTATGTTTCCCCATAATAACCTATAAGCAAAACATTGAAATAGCGTTGAAACAGCAAAACAGTTTCGATGAAACAAAACGGAACAGTGCTTTCAAAACTAAATGAAACTTGAAACAAAACATGGTTCTGTTGAATTGTCAAAACAGAAGTAAAATTGGAATGGTGCTGTTTCCCACAGCCCTGCTGTCTGCCTTCTGGGCCAGCTCCCAGCCAGCCCGTGACTGGATAGGGAAATCCCTGAACATCCAGAGGCTGACCGGGAGCTATCCCACTTCTGGGGCCAGCTCCCAGCTAGCCACCAGCTGGATGGGAAAATCCCCAGAAGCAGAACAGCTCCTGGCAAGTCCCCTTGCCTAGCCAAGGGTTGGCTGGGAGCTGACCCAGAAGTGGGACAACTCCTGGCCAACTCCTGGACTGGGGGAGGTGAGGGCAGAGAGCTACCCTGGGGGAACCGGGAGCTGAGCAGCACCAGGACTGGGGGAATTCCACATTTCCTGTGGCCCCTTGGTGTAGAGGTTGACTGGGAGGAAGTTTGCTCCTGGTCAGTATCTATACATGCACTACTGTTCAGTATCTACTGAGTTTACTACCGGTATGTACAAGTAGTAGCCAACTACACAGTACACTAATTTACCACATAGTGTGTGCACGCGTAGATAGTGACACTTTACTGTGCAGTAGATTTGTTTACTGTGCACTAAAGCATCTCATATAGACACATCCAGGAAGTCCTACAACATTTATGTATATGTGCTTTTTTTAGTATATATCTTTCATTTTATCTTTCTCCTTAACAAATTAAAAACAAATGCCACTTATGTATCTGTGTTCCTGTTCTAGCATTTGATATTTCTAGAATACAGCAATGGTAGGTAACTTAGTTAAGTGATAATTAAGGAAATAGCACTCCAGAAGCCTGACCCAGTGATATCCAGTGGTTTTTGTATACCATTATCCAGTTTCTATATCAAAACAGCTTTGCTACCTCCAAATTCCAAAAGCAGCTTATTTATATGTAGATGTAGCTATATGACATTTTGAAATGCCATACATTTGCATATGAAGGTTTCACTTTTTTTTCCTTTTGAGTAAACAGGGTCTGCTCTGACTTCCAAAATAATGTTTTAAATAGAATAATGCCTTCCCAGCAAGATCCTCCTTAAAACTTAAAAAACAAAACAACTCATTATTATAACTTGGATGCTATGGCTATCAGTGGCATCTTTGGGCATGTCTTTTTGATTTATTGCTGTACCTTTGAACTAAGCAAGCATGGAGAGCAAAACTACAAGACCTGAGGATTTCATATGAAACAGTTAGAGGTAATCTGTAATATAAATCAATATTTATAAATAAACCTTGGACACATGATGGAAGCTTGTGGTCAACTTAAGAAAGGCTATGGGTTAAATTAATTATACTAACTTTGAGGGTGGTATTGATTTTGTCACAGATCTTCCACTTGAACATAAGAGTAAATACTTGTTCAAAGTGTTGTTTGGGGCTCTAGAACAGCAAATCACTGTAAATCAAACCCCACATGATGTTAGTGAAATGAGTGGATTGTATCAGTTTTGTTTAGTTTATAAAGAATGATAATAGTGAGGCTGATGAGTATGTAGGAAAAATTTAAACAGGGTACATTAACATCTAAAACCCAATAGTGGTAGGAATAATATTTAAATGGACTGCATAAACTATATGCAGTTTATGAACTGCATAAACTACATATGCATGAAAAGAAATGCCTTTTTCTACACTTACTGTGTGTTGCGCACCAAGCTACACATTGGGTATCATTTAAACTAGAGGTGCACAAATATGTTGGTCTGAGATAGGATTGGCACTGATATAAAGGAAATTGGCTGTATTGGAAATCGGTTGCATGCGGCCGATAATTTGGCTGATAAATGCCTATGCATGTGTGGAACCGCAGTGTAACACGCAGGCAGTGAGAACACACCCTGGCAGCTTGGAGAGTTGTGTGCAGCTGATGAGTCCATTCTGGTGGGAGGGATGGAAGGGGGCAGTTCAACGCCCCCTGCAGTGAGGGAGCGAGTGTGTAAGGGGGCCAGGGTCAGACACTGCCCAGCTGGGTGCGGTGGGCACAAGATGGAGCTGTGGCTTCTCTGGAGGGCGTTGGGAGTGGGAGGCAGCTCCCGCCACTGCACACATCCTGGGAGGGCATGGGGGGCATGTGCCCCCCAGACCTGCACAGAGTGGGGGTGGGGGCTACAGCTGTGGGCTGCAGCCAGCGCTGTGCCAGGCTCTTCTTGGCAGCAGTGTTGGGAGCAGGCTATGGGGGGGGCTACGGTGAAATTGGGGGTGGTTGCAGCCCCCCTGTAGCCCCCTCCCAGCACCGCTGCCATGCGACCTGAGCCCAGCCCCCACCGAGAAGAGTCCCATGCAGCCCTGGCTCCAGCCTGCAGCTGCAGCCTGCCCCACCCCAACACAGATCTGGGGGCACACCCCTATACCCTCCTGGGGGGCAAGCAGTGATGGGAACCGCCCCTCACTGCACCCCCCAGATGAGCTGCAGCTCCATCCTGCACCCACCCCACCTGGCTGGGCAGCATCTGCCCCAGCCCCCCGGCCTCACTCGTCCCTCACCTTGGGGGGTGTTGATCTGCCCCCCCCATGCCCTTCCCTCCTCCCTCCCCTTCCACATAGCTGTATCAGAAATTGGACTGGTATCAGCCGATATGCCTCTGTTAAAATCAGCTATTGGTATCGCCCCCCAAAATGTCTATTGGTGCACTCCTACTTTAAACTGTTGTGAGATGGAGGTCATGTGTTTTGTCTGCTATTGAAAGACATATATATCAAAATTCTTCAAAAACCTGGTCAGTAGTAACTGGTGATTAGCACATAGCTTGGGCTTTGTCCACATCTGCAATATTGTAAACTGTCAAGATGATAAGATGGCAAGAGGATACTTCACAATCATTTCAAGCTCAGCATGTGCAAATATCATGAAAGTGGTACTCAGCAGTACTGATCTGCAGCTAGCATACATCAGTATTGCCCCTTTGACTTGAATAGAACTATCCTAATTCATATTGGACGAGACACTGTTCATGTTTTTCCAAAAGCAGCCATCAAGGTGATAGAGAAAACTCATCCCTAAGCTTCTTGATCTGGAGAAGATGACATGCACTTCCTAAGAATAACAATGAGGCACCTCTCACAGGGGGAGTAAGCACCAAAGTCATCATCTTACGACCAGCATTGAAACATTACTCTCCTGTATATCTGATGAAGTTTAAAACAACTTTCATTCATTTTCTTACGAGACTTATATAAAAAAAAAGATGACCAGTGAGGATCTTAGTAGATAGCATCAAATATGACAAATTGGATGAGGTGACAGAAAGCTGATGAATACTTTTGATATGACCCTAAAAATAGCAAAGGGATATTTGTACGTTGACACTTTTCTAATGGCAGACGGATATGCATGACCTAAGTTTTAAGACAGGTGTCAAGAATATTGATGTGTGGAGTAAGGAAGATCATTTTGCTGGCACTGCTGAAGGAGACAATTTGCATGATTAATGATGTTTCTCAGGTTTCTTTCTCCCAAGGGAAGTAGGGGGGATGCTCTTTTGTCACCCCAAGGAATAAAAGAATTGTGGCTGAGAGGAGGAACACAGCCTTGCCCACACACAGAACCTGCCCTTTCTTCTCAGAGGTGAAGGAAGGGTGGCGAAAAGGTGTGAGGGGTCTTAATGACCAAGAGATTTCTGCTTTCTGGTGTGACTGTGACCTCTTTCATATTAAGGAAGCCTGAGACCTAATGTACAGCATGTGACTGGTGTATTATTTTGAAGGACTACTTTGTACAGGGTACATAGAGCTGAAAAACATGGAAATCAGAAGTGGCTTCAGAAGTACTCATGTACCCATGGGGCAAATGCTCAGCATAGAATCAGCTGAAGGAAATGACCAGAGAAAAGTCATGCATGACTTACTAAGAATTCTTCAAGTGAAGCTGGCTCAGAAAAAAGGACCAATGAAAAGGCCCATGCAGTGCCCAAAGTATTTTTTTTGCCTCTCAGTGATCTCTATGTCAGCGCTGCTCAATTTATGACTATATTTTTTCCTAAACCACCTGCTGTGAAAGCTGAACCTGAGATCTAAAAGTCAAACTGATTTAATTTATTTTAACATACAAGCATCAGTAATAAAGATCCTATAGGCCAAGGTTGCTTCAAATTATTCCCTCAATGACACCTGTATTGAGGGTATCAATTAGCTCCTGTTTTTAATTATTATGTCCATATGAGAACTGTATTTGAACGTCCTAAATGGCTAACAAAGGATTTTTGTGGGGAGGACAAGGGGGAATATATATCATCTCTATCTATCTGTCTATACTCACATATATATTTCATAAAAGGATACTTGTATCTCTTTCATCAATCCTGGATCTATCTCCTTAGAATATATGAGATGCTACTACTGAAGGGATGATTGGGTAAGGATCAATGAAACAAAACATGAGTTTCATTTTGAGAGGCTCCTGCAAGTAAGGAAGGCTACAAAAGCACACCTTAATCCAATTACTATTCTGTCCCCTAATTCTCAATCACAAACCCAAGTGTGAAAGGCTGGTTTGATAGTGGAAGTCCATGGATAGCATGAAGCAGTATTTGAAAAGGTCTTTTACTTATTTTTTAAGACTCCCAGCCTGGTGTTTCATACATTTAGTATTTGGTTGAACACTTCATACAAAAAGATTGGGAGCAAATATGAATGGCAAAAATGTCAAATTTTTTTGATTGGTAACAAAGAAATGGAAAGGTTAGCTAAAGTACATGATAGAGAGGAAAAAATAGATTAGAGACTATTTTGGCTATGATTTTTTTCCTTCAATCTTTCTGACAGCCTGAAGGTTTCACAGCCCAGCACTGCAACTAACTTTATTTTCAATTCTGATTACTCAAATTTTTTTCTGCATCACTTGTGTGCAGCCCAGCCAGTGAGTGACACACGTTTACAAACTTTTTTCCAGGTAACACCTGTGTTTATAAAATACATTTCCTCAGAGTATTAACAAAGGAGACTGAAGAAAGAACAGCTGGATTGGGGGTAAGTGGAAGAAAGAAGAGAAAACTGAAAGAGAATGCAAACATGTATAAACCTATTTGCATGCAATCTTCTAGGTCATTCTAAACCAGCGCAGATGGGAATGAAAAACTGCAATACGGCCTTCACCACAGTAAGGCTTAGACAACTTACATGAAATCAAGCACCAGAATCAAACCATACCAGGAAGAATGGGGTAGGAGAGTCTGCTGACAATATTTGGCTTCTGCATGAGTCCAAGACTGTGGATGTAGTGAAAACTAAGCTGGCGAGATCGGGGGAAAAACTAATTCTGTTATATTAGGACATCATTCTCAGGACTGAGTCAGTTTGAATGCATATAAGCTTCTCATGAATTGCACTGTGTTTCTGAGCAGAGAAGTAATGAAGGAAATTCAGGCTGCTGTGAAGAGAAATGTCATAATGTGTCCCAATTCAACAGCCAACTGATGGAGACAGGATGGAATAACGCATTGAGCATCTGTCAGCACAAGTGTGCTGGGTGTCAAGCTGAGCAAACTACAACCTCATGAGCATAAGAAGGTAGTCAGAACAGACAGACTGGTATACCCAGGGTAAGGCAACAAAGTGGAAGGGATTTTGGTTACCATAATCAGTGAACGAGAGGAACTTGCTGCCATGACGGTGGTGACAATTGTTTTATGTTGCATTGTTCTGCTTGGGGCTCATACCCTGCAACTTCCCTTCACAACCTTTCATTATTGTACTCCCCAAGTACTTGTCCTTGAATTTCCTTTGATTTCCCACACTGGTATGTAATATCAGGTAATATTCATATTTTTGCTACTTTTGTGGCAGGTATTAACAACAGAACAGAAAATGCATTTTTATGGGCAAACTATGGGGTGATCCTTTTCCTAGGTGTATAGGAAAGGAGCTGCACTCTTTGTGGGAAGAATCTAATACAGTTTTCTAGCCTGTGTTTACGTATCTGTTTCCCCTGTGTGCCGCATCATAAATTGGTGGTGATAACAGGGCTCACAGAGTCCACAACTTTACCTTTAATATCTATTTAGTTCTTTTGTTAAATCTGTCTTGCAGCTGTTCAGGAGGTACATTTTTAGTACAGGGGATGCAGTTTAGATATTCCAAGTAATAAAGGCAATATGTTTAATTTCTTATGTATTAACTGAAAAGTTATCCCTTTGCATTCAATTAATGATCAGCTATGTTTATGGGTTTTCAACTTTACATATAAACAGACAACAATAAAATAATATAAAATGTCACAAAAGCAAAAAGCACGCCAGATTCTACATAACAGAAGAAAATACTCCACATTTAGCATTCACAGTGATGAAAAGTGTGTGGAATAGGATGGGAAACCTTAAATGTTTCATATTTCCTGCAAATGTTTAAGGTTTAGAGGGGACAAATTTTATGACAAAAATTCAATCTTTACTATTAAAGGTCAAAGGAAAGAAATGCGCAACATCAGACCATATCAAACAAATCCACACACCTAGAGCTACAGAGTTGAATATCTGGCATAACAGAGCATTGCTCAGCCCCAGGATCATCAGAAGCTGAAACAGACTTATAACTGAAGAATTTTGGGCAGTGAAAATGATTATGCATCCTTCCCCTTCTCCCTGGCTGGCTAGAGTATAGCTATACTGGTTCTGGTACCCAAGACACTGCACTCAGCTAGTCTGAGTATCATTATGTGCCATATAGACATGCTTACGGTTTTTCAGGACCGCAGTGTCCTTTAGTTGAGACTTTCATTGATCTATTTCAGTTTGTTTTCCAAAACAAGGCAATTGTTGGCTTTCTGAAAAGCACCTTCTGAACAGTCAGTTCTCAGTGCCCTTTGAAAGTTTTCTTATGGTCTCCATCCAATAACTAGAGTTTCTCTCCAGAGAGCTGGTATCCTCCCTGTATATTTCAGTATCCTTAAATGATATGGAACCTAAAGTGCAGCTTCCTCTTCATTTTCCCTTCCCTTCTATAAACATGGAGATACTAACATTTTCCTGTATCATGAAGGTGCTGAAATTTATCAGCATTCCCAAATCCCTTTTTGACCCTTGGATAAAAAGGGCTGCAAAAGGGGATGCTTTATTACTGGGAACATACGTTTACAATGTAGATGTTACTTATATGCTATTGTCTTATGCCACAGAAATGAAATGTAATTTGTAAAATAAAATAATATCTATTTTATATTACTGGTCATTTAGCATGTTGCAAATATAGGAAACAAGGGAAGCTATGGGGAAGAGAAAGAACAAGGTCTGGAAAGAGGCAGTTTACCAAGAATAAAAATGGATAAAAAAGGTTCAATGTGAAATCTGGAAGTCAATGGCTATATTTCCATTAGCTTCCATAACATTAGAATTTCATCTACTGCTCTTTAAAACCATATTCACTTTTATAACAATACTGTAAACTGAATGGCTAACATCCTTTGGCCTGGCCAAAGCCTTTTAAATCACTCAAATGCAGTAGGAGAAAAAAATCTGCAGTGCCAGATATGTCTAAAATCAGTAACAGCCCATGCTGAAGCAATCTGCAGAGGAAGATGTTTAGCATATATTCCGCTTGACAAAATGGTAATGGTTTATCAGTTTAAATATTACAGACTAATAAACATGTCCCTCTCTGGCTACTACATTTCTCAGCATTTAGAGGCAGCCTAGGTTTAT